TGTGATGAGCACAGAGTAATGTATAGGATTGTTGAACCACTGTATTATACCCCTGAAACTAATATAATGCTGCACGTTAAGTATACTTTAAAAAAAAGAAAAAGCCCATTCACAATTGTATCGAAATGACTAAAATTCTTAGGAATAAATCTAACAAGAGTGTACAAAAAAGAGTTGATGCAGCAGGCTAAACACTTACCCTTAGAAAAATCCTGCCTTCTAACTTAACCCTTGGCAGGCATCTGGGAACCTGGATTTCAGGCGAGCTCCCATCACTCCAAAAAGTGATCAGAGTGGTTCATAATGTATAAACTGTACAAACAATATGATTAAAAAAATTTTTTTAAAGATTTTATTGATTTGCCAGAGAGAGCACATGTACAAGCAGGGGGAGAGGCAGAGGGAGAAGCAGGCTCCCTGCTTAACAGGGAGCCCGATGCGGAACTTGATTCCAGGACCCTGGGATCATGACCTGAGCTGAAGGCAGCCACTTAACCAACTGAGCCACCCAGGCCTCCTAAACAATATGATTTATACTGACTATCCGTTTTCTTTCTGGGTATCTGGAATTTGGGCAGGTACCTGGTAGAGGCTGCCTATCTGACCAGCCCTGTAGTGAGTTGAATGGTGCTCCTTCCCCTATAGATATATTCCCCTAAAACCTGTCAATGTGACCTGTGGAAAAAGGGTCTTTGCAGATGTAATTAAATTAAGGATCTTGAGATAGATCACTCTTGATCGGGGGGGGGGGGGCGGGGGCGGGGCGGCCATCCTAAATCCAAAGACAAGTGTCCTAAGAAAAACGAGAAGACACAGAGGACAAGTTGATGTAAAAATAGAGGTAGAGATTAGGATGATACATCTACACTCCCACCAAGGTTTTCAGGCAGCAATCAAGTTAACAGAGAGGTCTGGAACAAATTCTTTCTCGCAGCCTCCAGAAGGATCCAAACCTGCTGACACCTTGATTTCTGACTTCTGCCTCCCAAACTGTAAGACAATACATCTCTGCTGTTTTAAGCCACCTAGTCTGTATCCATTTGTTACAGCAGCCTTAGGAAAGAGACAGGAACTCCTGGTAAGCATCTCTAACGAACTTCCCTGATTGGCAACATTTCACACCCTTTATCACAACTCATTGGGACATTTAAGTGCCTCCTCTGGGACTCCACTGAGAGAGGACCCTGGAGGCTGGAGGCTGTTTTCCCCCAAACTTTCCCCCCAAGAGTCTTTTCTCTTTGCTGATTTTATTTTGTATCCTTTTACCGCAATAATGATATAATGTAATAATATAGAATGACTATGTGCTGAGTCCTGTGAGCCCTCCTAGCAAATTATTGAACCTGGGTGTGATCTCCCAATTCCCAAGCAATAAAAACATTGCTAAGAAGAATTAGAGAAGACCTAAATAAATGGAGTGAAATGTCATGGCCATGTCATGGTTAGAAGACCAACATTATTAAGATGGCAGTTCTCTCCCAACTGATCTATAGATTGAATGCAATACCCGGGAAAATTTCAGCAGGTGGTCTTTTATTTTTTGTAGAAATTGACAAGCTAGGGGGCACTTAGGTGGCTCAGTCTGTTAAGCATCTGCCTTCAGCTCAGGTCATGATCCCAGGGTCCTGGGATTGAGTCAGGCTCCTTGTTCAGTAGGGAGTCGGCTTCTCTCTCTTCCTCTGCCCTTCCCCCTGTTCATGTGTTCTCTCTCTTGCTCTGTTCTCTCAAATAAGTAAAATCTTGGGGAGCCTAGCTGGCTCAGTCGTTAAGCATCTGCCTTCGGCTCGGGTCATGATCTCCGGGGTCCTGGGACCATGACCTGAGCCGAAGGCAGACACTTAACGACTGAGCCACCCAGGTGCCCCAAAATAAAATCTTTTTTAAAAAAAGTACTAGTTAATAATACATACTGAAGTATTTAGGGGTGGAGAGCATTGATGTCTACAACTGTCTTTGAAATTAATCTAAAAATAAGATGGACTGATGGATGGAGACAGGAAAAGGACAGACGTAGAGATAAGGGTAAAACAGATGTAACAAAATATTAATTACTGATGTAGATTCCAGGTGGCAGGTAAATGGATGGTTGCGGTACAGTTCATTTATCTTTTCTGTATATTTGAACAATTCATAATAGAATACTTGAAAACATTTGATTGCAGGTCACTGTGTAAATGGTAGCAGTTTCTCTATCTTGATTTATAAAATGATGGCATCTTAAGTTCAATGACGTGATCATTGTAAAAGATAACTTTGTGTGTCATCAAATATCTAGGTCCTTCATTTTCCATGCATTTACGTTGGGTCCATGTGACTAGCTTTGGCCCTTGGACTTTAAGTAGTGATACAGACATCACTTGCGGACCAAGGCAATTAACAGCTAGCAGACCTCATTGATCTCCTGTCCACTGCCAGTGACCTGGGAGGCATGCATTCGGGAGGGGTAGACGGTGAAGGAGAGCCACCTGACTCCGCAGCAGGCCGTGCGTTCGTGGAAAAGCCACGGGGACTCGGAGGCTGTTGACTCCGGCCTGGGCTAGCTTAGCCTAACTTTGGAGCGGGAGCTTTCACACAAACTCAAATACATACGGCGCGTCCGATCAGGTAAGTTACTGTCTTAGCTCCAAACCTGCCCTGCGGCGGTGTGGGGCTGCTGCGGCCTCGGCAGCCGCTTTTCGGGGGACACATTTTTGCAGGCCAGGCTCTGCCCAGTGCTAGCGCTCGAGGGAGACGGGAGGCCAGAGGGAGCGGGGACTTGGCCCGGCAACCTCGCGTCTCCATCGCGGCACAGGTGGCTCGAACGGTAGTTGTTAAAGGCGTTCTATTCGGTTTCGATCGACAGGCCTGAGCGTGCAAGGCAGCCCGGGTCACAGAAATCCTGGGGAGCAACGGCCGCAGGAGGAGAGGCAGAGGCGGGCGCGGGCGGCACGCACGGAGGCGCGGCCCTGGAGACAACGATGCCCCGCTCAGGGTTCGGGTACGAGCCCAGGACCTGACACCCTGGGCGGACCCCACAGCTCGAGGCGACCCCAGGGAGGACAAGAGCCGGAGGCCCGGAGTCGCTACCAGCGTTCCAACTAGGCGGGGCTTCGTGTCGGGCGGCTGGCAGGGTGTCAGCAGCGACCACGCACGTTGGTTGTGAAAGCCGGCCGCGCACGCCGCCGCCAGCCTCCACGCCACGCCCTTCTCGGGCTTCCCGGCTCGTCCCGGCTGCGCCCCCGGAAGCCCCCGCCCCCGCCTGACCCGACTTCCCCGGGTCCCCCACGGCGCCGCCCCCGCCCTCCCGGAAGTGCCTCCTCTTGGCTCCGGCCGCTCTGGCCCGGGCGGGCCCTTCTCGCTGGTGGGCGGGGCGCCGCTCCGCCGCACGGCGCTCCTCCGGCCGCCAGGGGCGCGGAGACCGTGGCAGGGCCCCTCTGGCCCGCGGCGGCCGCTCGACTGCTCCGCGGCGCGGTCCCTTCCGGCGCCAAGGCCGCCGCCTCCGGGCTGTTCCCCCGGCAACGGCTCGGAACCGTTCCCCCGGCAACGCGCGGCGGGCGCGGTCCCCACAGCCATGGACCCGCTGTCCGGCGCCGGGCCTCGCCGGGCTCGCGGCCGCCTGGGCGCGGCGGCCCCCGGAGCGCGGGCTGCGGCGGCGCCCTGGGCGCGCTTCTCGGCCTGGCTGGAGTGCGTGTGCGTGGTCACCTTCGACCTGGAGCTGGGCCAGGCGCTCGAGGTGAGCGGGGCGGCGGGGCGGCGGGGCGGCGGCGGCGGGGGGAGGGCGCCTGCTCTGTAGGCCGCCGGCAGCCCGGGAGCTGTCTGCGCGGGAGGAGCCCTCGGGCCGACCCCCCGGGCGGCCTCCTCCTCCTCCGAAGCCCGGCGCCGGCCGTCCCCCCGGGATGCAGGAGACGGGCGCCCTGCACCTGGGATAACCAAGGCGGCGCTCTTGATTTTCCCGGGAAAGCCCGCCTCGTCTCTCTCCTCCGCTCTTGAGCGGCGGAACCTCCTCCGCTCGGGTGCTCCAGCCAGAGCCCGGGGGGCAAGCGGCACTGGAGACGCGTTAGCCCGTTGCCGTCCCCCCTCCCGACTGCCCTTCACAGTCCGAGCTTTGTGGCGCTCCTGCTGAAAACCCTCCCGCACCTCGTCGTCCCCGTAGAACCAGACCCAGACGCCTTGTCCCTTTCCAGCCACGCCCGCCGTCCTTCTGTGCGCCAGCGGCAGCCCCCTCACCGGGCCTGGGGAGTCCCCATCCCGGGCAGCCTCCCTTCCTGCATGCGTCTTCGCGCACGGGTGGAAATGTGGCCGACTCGGGGAGCGAGGCCTCCCGCAGGCCTGTCGGCATGGGCTTGCCTCCGCTCCGTGGCCGGGGCACAACGAGAGCTGGGCTCCGCCGCAGTCAGAAGGGACTCTCTGAGAGCCTTGGAGCTAGACACCCCGGACCGCAGAGGGCTGGGGCGGGGCTGAACCGCCATTTTCGGGAAGCCAGTGCGGTGGTGGAGGGAAGGGGTGCGTTCTAAGGCTCCGCTGAGCCCCGAGAGGCTGTGGGAAATCCGAGTCTTCTAAACAGAAAGGGCCGACCCCTGCGGAGGACTTCTGCATCCCAGCCCTGTGCCCAGCTCCCTATGGACACCCCCTTCCAGCACCGCCACCCCCACCAGGTGTGCATTACTGTAGTAGCCCCACTGGTCGGAGAGACCCGAGCAGAGAGCTGAGATGCTCTGCCCCGTGTTACGGAGCCCACGTTCTTGCCGTGGCCCAAATTGCTCCTCAGAAAATCACGAGAAGTTCAGAGATTCTCCTGCTTCCTTAAGGCACTCTCCCGTACATCTTTCTAGAACTTAACCGTTTAGAAAGCTAATTCTAGGTGAGTACTGTTAAAGGCTCTGTGTGCTTGGGCTTCGGAGCCTTTGGTGCGGTGACACAGCTCTGGCAGGGGGCGTTGGGGACCCAGGGCCCCTCTAAATCACCAAGTCTGTGTGGGAATTGGGCCATGAATCTATCAGACAGTCCTCATCAGGTTTGCCTCTTGATTGGGGGTTGTTTCAGTTGAACCTTCCGGGTTTTGAGGAGCACCTGCCCCATGCTCACTTATTCACAGCTTGGACTGCCTGAGCACCGCAAACACCCCAGCATTGTACGAGGTGCTGGGCTGCCTTCCAGGAGCTCATGGCCCGCACTTGCTCTGTGGACAAACGCAGCTCAGAGGAAGAGGTAGGGCATGGCCAGTCTTGGAGGGTGGGAAGGGGGCAGCCGGGCAGGGGAGAAGAGCCTGCTTCAGGTAACCTCTCCCTCAGAAAAGCCAGTAAAAATAAAGGCAAGGAGCTGTCCGTTCATTCGTCCAATAAACCAAGTACTGAGCAGCCAGGCCCCACAGCACCAGTGCTGGACATGGGGAAAGCAGAGTTAGGCGAGAAGACAAGGCCCTGCCCTCCAGGAGTTCACATTCTGTCCTAGAGACACAGTGGTTTGGGACCCCCAGCGCACACAGGCTATGGGGGGCAGGGGGGATCCAAGCCGATAGGTACACTGAAGCCTACAGGTGAGGCGGAGGAGGCCAGGCAAGGCCTTGGGGGATGGGGGCGACGAGAACCTGTGGATCAGCTGCGGAGAGGGTCTGGCTCCGCCCCATCCCAGCACATCTGGGAAGCCTGTGGGGTGAACTCTGGCCGGAGGGCCCAAAGAGGCCCTCTCCACTGGGGTGTTCATGCCCTCCCAGGACATAGCTCCCACACTGCACAGTCCCAGGACCCTTTACAGTCTTAAAAATTATTGACCCCAAAAAGCTTTTTGTATGGGTCATACCTATCAATGTTTACTGTATTAGAAGTTAAAACTGAGAAAATTAGGGGCGCCTGGATGGCTCAGTCGTTAAGCATCGGCCTTCAGCTCAGGTCATGATCCCAGGGTCCTGCTCAGCCAGGCGCCTGCTTCTCCCTCTCCCCCTCCCCCTGCTCGTGTTCCCTCTTTAGCTGTTTCTCGCTGTCTGTCAAATGAATAAATAAAATCTTTAAGAAAAATGAGAACGTTTAAAATACTTACTAAGCTATTGTAAAAAAACAAATACTGTATGTGTTAATATAAATATTTTCATGAAGACAACCATATTTTTCAAAACAGAATTTAGTATCATTTGACACTTTCACAGACCTTTTTCTTTTTGAAGATTTTATTTATATTTAGTGAGAGAGTGCATGTGAGTGACTAGGCGGAAGGACAGTGGTAGAGGCAGGGGATCTTAGGCAGAATCCTCGCTGAGCATGGAGCCTGATGTTGCGGGGCTTGAACTCAGGACCCGGATGTCATGACCTGACCTGAAACCAAGAGTCGGATGCTTAACCCCCTGAGCCACCCAGACGCCCCCTACTTTTACAAACCTTTTAAGCATCTGGTCAGATAGAAGAGAGCTGGACCCCCACATCAGCTTCTGCTGTGTACCCTGTGCTAGTGTGTGGGGCAGCCTCTGGGAACAGCCCTGCACACGAGTAACAGGATGAGCGTGAAGGAGGCAGCTTTGACGTCGCGGAGTCCTAGAGCTCCCTGGGACACTGAAGCGCTGTCCTAGAGAGGTGCCTTCTCGAAGGACACGTGGCTACATCTGTCTTCCTCAGGGATGGCTGGGCTCCAGGAGCAGCACTGGTGCTGGCTGGCTCAGCAGAAACAAGGCCTTCGTGGGCCTGGGAGGATAGGGTCCTCGGGCAGCACAACTCCTTGCTTTCTGCCTGACGGCCGGCTCCATTCCTTTCCTCCTTGAGGCATGGCTCAACTTGGCCTTCCCTTTGGTCTCTGCTCCCAGGAGAAGCTGCACCAGGCCATAAACATGGGTTCCCTGGCCATGGATGCAGAGGCCAACGTGGCCTGCTTTGATGCTGCAAGACTCCTGTGGCTGTCAGACCAGATTCGGACCCCTGACCTCAGTGTGAGGCCCATTGCCCCAGCTGCCAGGCACCCGCCTTTCCTTGGCCCTCTTTGACACGGACACCTGAGGGCTTGGCTGAGTGGTCCTGTGGCTCCTGCCCCTCCTGGGGCTGTCCCAAGGTGCCTCTGTGGGTCTGGTCCCATAGACAAATCCCTTTCAGCTCCTGTCCCTTCTCTTGACCCTTCCTTCTTGTTGCCCCCTGAGCTGACATCTCCTTGAGGTCCCTGCACGACCTTCCTGTTCTGTTCTGCCTCCACGATGTGTTTCCGGACACATCGCGGATACTGTATTTGGTGAGGGTGTACTCGCTGCCGCGGCCAGGACTCCCTGTCCTCAGGACGCTGGTGTGCGGCAGAGGGGACAGAAGCAAGGCCCAGCGGCCCGAGCAAAAGGACAAGAAGCTGCATCATTCCAGCGTGGCACTGCCCTCTACTGGGGGTCCAGCCAACACCCCAGGAGAAGCCTCATTTCAGCTAAAACCCAGCTCCTCCTCAGTGTTGAATTTTGGAGGACAGGCTCCTGACCCCCTGTGGGCCCCCAGCACTGCCCCTTCCAGAGAGCCCGAGGCTCCTGACCCCCTGTGGGCTCCCAGCACTGCCCCTTCCAGAGAGCCCGAGGCTCCTGACCCCCTGTGGGCTCCCAACGAGCACAGGTCAGGGCAACAGCAAAGCCTAAGGCACCCCCGCTCCCCAGAAGACACCTCAGAGGCCCACTGGGAGTGAGGGCTATGGGGCCACCTGCCTTGTTGGTATCCTACAACCAAATCCATTCTGGCCTTGGGCCTGTGCATAGAGCTGCTGAGCCTGAGAGCCAGGCCTCAGCCCGCTGCTCCTCTAGGATGTGGCCTGCTCCTAGATCCCTGAGGGCCTGCTGTTGACCCTGCTGGGGCCCAGGGTGCTCTCCTAGGGTTCTTGCTCCGGGGGGAGGGGTACAGGCCAGAAGGTCCCGGGTCCCTGACTAGCAGAGGTTGAGGTGACAGCACTCAAGGTGCTGTCAACAGGCATGGGTGCCACGGTCTTAGTGACATCTGAGGCCAGACCAGGACATGAGGAAGCCAGCCAGGCCCTATCTTGGGGAGCAAGCCTGGGGGAATGGTGCAGGCTAAGACCCTCCGGCTGAGTAGAGGCGTCCCGGAGGTGGAGGGAAGGGGAGGCGGAGGCCAGCAGGCAGATCCCTGTGATCACACTCTAGAGGAGAGAGGAGGCCACGGGAGGGCTCTCAAAACCACCTTCTGAAGCTGGGGGACAGGAGAGGCGGGGAGGCCCGGCCACAGTCCGCATGAGGGGTGTGAGAAGGAGTTGGGGAACTGGCCCCGGTGTGGGAGCCAGCCAAGACAAGGGAAGGATGGAGTGGTCTCATGCTGAAAGGGCCCAGAGGAGGAGGTGGGGGGCAGGACCAGCATGGCAGCCACTGCCCAGCTGATGGTACCAAGTGCTCTGTGTCCCTGCAGCTGGTGTACCCCAGTGACTTCCGGCTCACGGACAAGGAGGTGGGTCCTGGCCCTCCTGGGAGCAGACGTGGCCCTGAATTGAGCCAGCCCTCACCCGGTTTCCTGTGTTTCAGAAAAGCAGCATCTGCTACCTGTCCTTCCCTGACTCCCACTCAGGTAGGCAACCCCACCTGGGACATTGGCTCTGGGGCTGGGGAGTGGGTAACAGGAAGAAGGTGGGAAATATGGCTGTCCAGGAGGCCCTGTGGCCCGGGCCCGGGCATGACCACCACCAGCATCACTGCCTGTGCATGCCAGCCCCACTCCCCGCTCCATGGAGACACCCAGAACTCCACACTGCAGCAGTTGTGGTTAGGTGCCCCCGATTTTCAAGGAAAGAGTGTCTCTGGGCAGAGTGATCAGTGGGGTCCGGTCCCTTTCATCCCACCACAGTGGCCACCAGGAACTGGGTCCTGGCCTTTGCTCTTCTCCGGGGCTTAGGTGTCCAGGCAGCCCTGTTTTTCTGTCACAGAGCAGCTGACTGGGCCCCACTGGGGTCTCCCAGTGTCCCCTCTGTGCTAGCTGACTGTACCGATGTGTGCTGTGTTTATTTTGAAACTCTCAGGTACAGGAATTAGGGCACGGCCTTCCTCGAAGGCTGGGCTTTCTCTCTGGGGTGTTTACAGCCCAGTCTCTGGTCCCCTCCCCGGCATGCTGGCAGGAGAGGTCCCAGCCCTGACATGGGCTGGTGGGGGCTGCCTCCCCTTCCAGGCTGCCTCGGAGACACTCAGTTCAGCTTCCGCATTCGGCAGTGTGGCAGACAGAAGAGTCCATGGCATGCCGAGGACTGGCACTACAACAGTGGGGCGCCCGTGTCGTTGCAAGTGAGTGTGGGCAGCCTCTCCCCAGAGGCCAGGGTTGGGCAGTGGGAACAGCCAGTAGGATTTCCAGTGCTGCAAGCCCCGCCACCCCGTGGGACTGGCACCCCAGCCTGCATTGGGGGTGGGCTAGCTCTCCCAGGCCTCTGAGCTACTGACCACTGTCCCCGCAGAGATGTTCCCTGTCGAGGTGTTGGCCACCTTCTGAGCCAAGGACCCCCAGGCCTGACCCCCATGGCTGTAGCAGCCTTGGCAGGAGGTCTGGGTGGGCGGGAGGGAACCTGGGCAGTGGACTCGGCCTGGCTGACACTGTTCCTTCCAGAGGGAGCCAGCACACTACTTTGGTTACGTGTACTTCAGGCAGGTGAAGGACAGCTCCGTGAAGAGGGGCTACTTCCAGAAGGTGAGCCACCTCACTGCTCTGGGGTGGTGCTGCCGTGAGTCAGGGCTGGTGGCCATCAGGCTAGGGGTCCTGAGCCTCCAGAAACGCCCACTCCTCCTGAAGCCCCTCGCCACTTGGCACTGGGCAGAACTCACTGCCCTGGGCTATGTAGGCCGCCCTGCCTGGGCAGCAGGTGAGGGGTTGGGGGACGGGTGCCGCTGTACCCAGCTCTCCTGCTGGCCCTTTGGGGAGTGGGCCCTGCTGCCCTGCCTTGCCCGGCACAGCACCCTGGCCCTCTGTCTCTGAGCTCAGGATATCCCTGCTTCTTGCTGCTGACTGGGGAGGGGCCCTTGTCACCCGTTCAAGATTAGGACAACTTCCATCTTGAACTCAGACACCATAAGCAAAAGCTGCTTGACTCCTCGGGAGATCATCCCAGAAATCTTGGCCATGTGCATTTCCCTTTGAAGGCCCAGGGCCCAGCTGTCATCTGAGGTTTCCCTGCCTTGTCTGAGGCAGGCTTTGGGTTTTCTTCTAATAACTCCGGGGTCCAAGTTGGCCCATTCCTATGGGGTTTGTGGGATGCACTTCCCTGGGCAGACTCTGGATGAGTCTGGGATTCCATCTCACTGGCCCTGTGGGCCCTGCAGTCTCTGGTGCTGGTGTCCCGCCTGCCGTTTGTCCGGCTATTCCAGGCACTCCTGAGCCTGATTGCCCCCGAGTACTTCGACAAGTTGGCCCCCTGCCTGGAAGCGGGTGAGTGGCTGTCAGGTGCTGCCAGCGTGCTTTCACCATTCCAGCCATCGCCCCCAGTGGCTTCGACAGGCTCCTGACGCTAGTCCCCTGTGCCCACAGTGTGCAGTGAGATTGACCAGTGGCCAGCCCCTGTGCCTGGGCAGACCCTGAACCTGCCTGTTATGGGAGTCGTCCTCCAGGTGAGGGCTGGCCGTCGGGGGAGGGAAGGCGCCAGGTTTACGGAGACACCCACGCCCATCTGGCAGCTACTCCCTTTTGCCCTCCAGGTTCACGTCCCGTCCAGGGTGGACAGGCCCGAGCACAGTCCTCCGAAGCAGTGTAGCCATGAGGTGGGGGCCCTGTTCCTGGGTCGGGGGTGCCACACCTCCCACCTCCCCAGGCCTCCCTGCCCTCCCTAGGGGCCTGCCTGCATCTTGCTGTGGGGCTAGGTGCCCCCCACCCTCTCCAGTGCTGTGGGGGTGGGGAGCTGTGCAGGGCAGGGGCTATAGCCCCCAGGAGTCTCCTGGGGTGAGAGGTGCTGCTTGGGGCTTGCAGGGTGCCAGCCTTGCCCTCGGCCTGACCCCACCCGCTCCTCCTCTCAGAACCTGCTGCCCGCCCCCGTGGTCCTCACCAGCGTCCATGAACTGGACCTGTTCAGGTGAGGCCTGTAGGCTGCTGCCTGTTGCCTGAGTAGGTGGTCAGGGGACCTGTGAGGTAAAGCCTGTGCAGGGTGGGGGCTGCCAGAGGGACTGCCTATCAGAAGTGAACCCTTGGCCAGCTCCGTGAGGGAGCGTTGTGCAGAAGAGAAGCCCAGGGCCCTGCTGCCTCTACCCAGAGGGCAGGAAGGTGTCAGAAGTCAGGTGCAGGGAAGGGAGCTGCTGCCTTGGGAGATACTCACTGCTCCTCTCCAGGAAAGTCTGTGAGGGAGCCAGGCTTCAGAGACCCAGCTGCCCTGTGCTGCCGGCTTATGCGTGGGGGTGCAGGGCCAGGTGCCCTAGGCACCCCCTCAGTATCTTCAGAGGTCCTCGCTGCTTTCCTCCAGGGCAGTGTTCACCTAGAGCTAGACCTGCCAGGGGCAGGGAGGGTCAGGGCTGGGAGCCCCCACCCCTGCTGACTGGAGGCTGGCACTAGGTGCTTCCAGCCTGTGCTGACCCATGTGCAGACTCTGTGGGAGCTCATGCTCCTCGGGGAGCCCCTGGTGGTCCTGGCACCCTCGCCCGCCATGTCCTCAGAGATGGTGCTGGCCTTAATCAGGTAGGCTGGGTGGCAGAGGGAGGGGGTCGGGGGCACCTGAGCGGCCCTGGCTCTACTTATAGCTCGGGCTGTGCCCCCGCCCCGCAGCTGTCTGCAGCCCCTCAAGTTCTGCTGTGACTACCGCCCCTACTTCACCATCCATGACAGCGAGTTCAAGGAGTTCACCACGCGCACGCAGGCCCCGTAAGTGCCCTGTCCATGCCCCGTCCTCCACCTGGGCTCCACCACCCTGGGCCTGCCTCTGCCCCTTCTCTCTCTCTCTCTCTCTCTCTTCTCTCCTCTCTCTAGACCAAACGTGGTCCTGGGAGTCACAAACCCTTTCTTTATCAAAACACTCCAGCACTGGCCCCACATCCTCCGTGTTGGAGAGCCCAAGATGTCAGGTGAGGCTGGCCTGTCTTCTGCCCAGGGGACCTGGGGAGGTGGGGCCTGGAGGGCTCTGAGCCTGTGGCGGGTGGAGATGCGGCACTGAGGCCCAGCGCTGGGTGTGTTCTGTAGGGGATCTTCCTAAGCAGGTCAAGCTGAAAAAGCCCTCTAGGCTGAAGACCCTTGACACCAAGCCAGGTGTGTGCCCCTTGGGCCGGAACCCCTCCTCTCCTCCAGAACCCAGGCAGTGGGCTCTGAGTTCTCAGGGAACCTTCTCTGCTTCACCCGGTTGGAGGTGGGCATAGATGTGCAGTCCCAGCCAAAGGGGGTGGGGCTATAGGGGGAGGCCCTTCGGGACAGGGCCAGCTCTGCCCTCCTGCCAGGCCTCTACACCACGTACTCGGCCCACCTCCACCGGGACAAGGCACTGCTCAAGCGGCTGCTCAAGGTATAGGCTGGGGGAGGCCGGAGGCGGGGGTTGGGGGTGTGCTTGCTCTGTGTAAAGGGCTGCATTGGAGTTGAGCCCATGCCTCCCCTTCCCTTAGGGGCTGCAGAAGAAGAGGCCCTGGGACACACAGACAGCACTGCTGAGAAGGCACCTCCTGGAGCTCACGCAGAGCTTCATCATCCCCCTGGTGAGGCCCAGGGCAGGAGGGGGATGGGGGCAGAGGGCCATGGCCCCAGGCTCACTCCCCTCCCCCACCAGGAGCACTACATGGCCAGCCTCATGCCCCTGCAGAAGAGCATCACACCCTGGAAGGTGCGGGTCCAGGTGGCAGTCTGGGGAAGGCCTGGGAGGGAGGGAGGGAGGAGGTCATTGGGTGTGCAGGAGTCCCCAGGGTTCTAGGCTGTCCCCACACATGCCAGACATCCCTCATAGGACAGAAAAATGGGGGCCACACATGAGGGGCTCTGTCCCGGGAAGGGTGGGGGCTGTGGGTCCTCGTGTGGCTGAGGAGTGTGGCAAGGAAGGGTCCTGGCCAGCTGAGGGGCAGGGCTTGTGAGGTTGTGTCCCCCACCAACCTGGGCTCACCAGGCCCCTGTCTCAGACTCCTCCCCAGATCCGCCCTTTCCGCCAGGATGACTTCCTGCGTAGCCTGGAGCACGCAGGGCCCCAGCTCACCTGCATCCTCAAGGGCGACTGGCTGGGCCTCTACAGGTGGGTGGATGGCAGGTAGGGTCCTGAGGCTCCTGCAGTGGTTGGTGCAGACTGCCCTTGTACATGGGGCCACGGGGTCAGCCCACAGCTGCTGCATCTTGCCACCCACAGGCGGTTTTTCAAATCCCCCCACTTTGACGGCTGGTACCGGCAGCGGCACAAAGAGATGGCCCAGAAGCTGGAGGCCTTGCACCTTGAGGCTATCTGTGAGGCGGTAAGGGGGAGCTGGGGCTGGGGGAGGAGCTGGGGGCATGCATGCCCAGAGCAGGGGCGGGGGGGGGGGCACAGGGGCAGAGTGAGGGCCTTGGTGGTGGATGGCTCCATCTTCTCCCCAGCAGAACATCGAGACTTGGATGAAGGACAAGTCTGAGGTGGAGGTCGTGGACCTGGTCCTGAAACTTCGGGAGAAGCTGGTGAGATGCCTCCTGGCCCTGTCCAGCCTCCACTAGCCAGATGTGGAGGTCGCCTGCCCCTGACCACCGCTGCCCCTGCAGGTGCAGGCACAGGGCCACCAGCTCCCCGTGAAGGAGGCAGCACTGCAGCGGGCACAGCTGCACATCGAGACCGTCATCGGCTCTTTGCCCAAGGACCTGCAGGCTGTCCTGTGCCCTCCCTAGGACAGGGCCAAGGGGCAAGGTCCAGGGGCCTGGGTCTGGCCAAGCTTCCTTCTCCTCGGTGAGAGGTGGCCCCAGCCAGGCACGAGCTCCCGACCTGAGCTCCCCACAGCTGCTGTCTAGCCTTGGCCGTCCCCGTCGGCACCCGTGTTGTTTCAGCAGTAAAGGTGGCATTTGGAACCACAGCCTGGCCCCTGACTGTTGGATCACGTGCTGGCCAGAGCCTTACCTCCCCCTGGGTCCCACCTGCCTGCTGCAGGGCCCCAAGGCTGGGAGGCGGGGCTGGCTTGGAACCCTCCCTGCTCTGGGCACAGGGCCACCCGCCCCCTGTGGTGCCCACCTGCCCAAGCCCTGGGGCCCCAGGCCTTGTATTGGATGTGTCCTTTAGCCCCACTAGGCCGCCCAGCCCAAGACGGAAGGAGGCAGCTGTTAGGCGGACACCTCTTCTCACATGGCCAGCCAGCCGTCTGGCAGGGTGCGGGGGAACCAGGATACTTGGCTGTTATGGTCATTGGCTGGGGTGGGGCAGAGGCCTGTTTGCGGGGCGGAGCTCTGCCCTGTAGCTTGTTGGGAGGCTGCCAGGAGGGTCTGGGGCATCGTCCTGGGTCTGACTCTTGGAGCACCCGGCCGGCCCCCTTCCGTGTACTCTGCCCAGTGCTGCTGCTTCTCTGACAGGCACTCGAGCTGCCTGCCTCCCGTGTGTCCATCCACCCCCTTGCGCAGCCGGAGGGGTTTGGGACTCTAGACTTACTGGAGGCCCTCAGCTGCAGCCCTCCATAGCTGCTGCAGCCTGGAGCAGCGGGCTCCTCTGCACGGAGCGGAAGGGCCCTCAAAGGTGCTAACCTACCCAGTGTGGCACGGTGCAGTGCTGGGCCTGGTGGAACCCAGTGGCTTAGCACAGGGTGACGGCATCGTCAGCCCGCGGGAGGGTGGGCGTGAGGTGCGAACCCAGCGTTGTGAGCCTTGCAGGTAAGTCTCCCGACCTCCAGCCCTCACCTCAGACCCCTCATCTGAGCCGCGAGGCTGTGTGGATGTCTGACTGGGCTCTGCCCCACGGGGCCTGAACGGGGCTCGGCCGTCTCCCTGAGTGCAGGCCCAGGGAGGTGCTGCCCCTTCTCCTGAGTGGCTGCTGAGGGAGTGCTCACTGGCCGCGGCTCTCCCTGCTCTGAGCTTGGCAGGGCCGCGGGGTGCGTGGCACGGCTCTCAGAAACACCGCTTTCGACTCATCCCCCTGACAGTGGCCTAGGACAGCCTGTCTGAACCCAGTGTGGGGCAGGGTCCGAGGGCATGGCTGTTAATGGAACAGAACAGAATAGTGCCCGACGGGCAGCGGACCCAGGTTTGCAGACAAAATCGGCTGGAGCTGGGGAGTAGGAGGCCCCATGGTGGCCCAAGATGCCGCTCTGGGCAGCCTGCCCTGGCTGGCTGGTGTGGAGGGGTGACCTCCTCACCCGGGATGTGGTCTTGAAGGGGGTCTGCAAAGATGCCAGCACCTTTCTTGTGGCTGGCTGGTGCTCGCGTGTGCCTTCTAGGGCCGGGGCCAGTCCTAGGCCCCCCGAGCGCTATGGCTGCAAGGTGTGTGGGAGGCTTGGGAAGTTGACCTGGGTCCTGCTCACAACGGTGACCCCAGACATCACTCTAGCTTGTGCTTGAGTGTCCAAGCACTGGGCAGCCACTTCACGCGGTTTTCGGAGGTCTGCTGCAGGGAAGGGGCAGTGAGGGGGCCTCCTCCAAGCCACCAGGGACCTTGGCCACCATCAGTCCAGGATGGCCCAACCAGGTTCTCCCAATTCCCTGAGTACCACCCCCCTGGGGATTTGAGGGCTGTGTTTTGGGCCCCATGGCTGTCCCTCACAGCAGTTCATCCTAAGGACCACTGTGGGCAGGAGCTCCGGGGAGGACTCCAGGCAGGGTGGGCAGCGCAGCCCGGGGTGGAGAACCCAAGGCTGAAGTGGAGAAGTGTGAGGGAGCACGTCTCCTGGAGTGCCTGGGGCCATGAAGGATCCCTCTTCCTCACGGCCTAACCTCTCTGCACAAAGGTGGCCTTGGGTGGGGGCTCTGTGGGAGCCTGGCATGAAGTCCTGCCGGCTCTGTTCTGTCCCCCACAAGCTCCCTTGTTCCCTCCTAGGATCAGGCCAGCTCTGGTTTGGCTGAGTTTCTGGCCCCCAGCAGGCCCCCAGCAGACAGTGAGGGGGAGAGGGCAGACAGATGAGGCCCTCCTGCCCCTGTCACCCGGATCAGAGCCCCAAGGGCAGGAGGGCCCCCAGAAGCAGGAGCCAGCTGGCCCAAGAGGGTGTTGTGCTTGGTCGCTGAGGCCTCTTGAGGTTGGAGGGGCTGTGTGCTTGTGGCCGTGGGGGACTTGTCAGCCACACCAGGGCCAGGAAGGACAGTCCTCACCCCCGTGCTTCCTGTGCTTTATTTAAACATTCCCTTTTAGTCTGGGATAGTGGCCTTCCCACATTTCTGGTATTAAAATATCCTTTAGTGATAATGCCTCTTTTAACTTCCTTTTTTGATTAAAAAAAAAGTTGGCGTTCTTGTCAGACCCTGGCAGTTTTAGGGGTCCTCTGCAGTGGGGACTGGGTGGGCCTCTTGGTGTGACTGTGGTTCAGGGCTGCCGGAGGGAAGGTTTGGCCTGGTTGGTTGGGGGTGGCCAGCAGCTGAGATGTTGGGAGGACTGAAGGACATGCTCCTGATGCTCCTAAGGGCTTCCATCTGGTTGGAGTTCTTGATCACTGGGGGCAGGTCTCAGGGTGGAGGGGGCTGGAGGAAGTGAACAGTCTGGGTGGGGGGGGGGGCGGCGGCGTCCTGGTGTAGGAGTGCTGGTTAGGGTTTGGGAAACAGTCCCTTGTCTTCCCTGGGTCCCCAACTGCTGCTCACCCCACCCATCCTGTGTGACGGGAGACTGCAGGTGAGGGGCAGCAAGCGCTCACAGGACAGCTGGCCCCACGGGGAGGGTGCCCACCTCTTCTCAAGTCCAGGCACACAAACCCCTGGTGCTGGTCCTGGGGGCGGCTCCCTCAAGGCCCTCTGGGAGGCAGCAGGCGCACCTCTAACCCTAAGAGGTTGGGGGGCTGAGGCTCCAGGGAACTGGTCAGGGCGCAGCAGTCCCCGGCCCGCGGGGACAGCAGGGGATGCGGCAGGCCTGAACCCAATCTGGTGGTGGCCGTGGTGCCCGATGGCGCCCGAACCGCGAGGTGGCTGGGGCCGGGGTGGCTCGGGGCGCTCCCAGGCGGTGCCCGGCCCAGGGGCGCGCCCTGCCTGCCCGAGAACCTGGGCACGAACCCGGCCGAACCTATCCCGCGACGCGGTGGGCTGTGTGGCCGCGGGGCGCGGGGCGCGCCCTTCCCTCCTTCCCCTTTCCCCCTCCTCCCTCCCCGCCCCTCCCTCTCCTCCCTCTCCGTCCCTCCCTCCTCCTCCGCCTCCTCCCTCTCGCTCCTCTACCCCGCCCTCCCCCTCTCCCCGTCGGGGGCGGGGCCGCTGCTCCCGCGCGCTCCGGCCCCTCCTCGGCCACACAAAGGCCCGTCTCCATGGCAGCCGCGCGGGCCGGAGCGCAGCGCCGATCGCGGCCCGGGCGCCATCGAGCCTCGGCGGCGGACGTGCAGGTACCGCGGTGGGGGTACAGGGCCCACGGTGCGCCCGCGCGGGTCGGGGGGCTTCGCCGTCAGCGCCGCTCGGTCCCAGTCTGCGCGCTCTGAGCGCGGGGACCCGGGGCAGCTGCTGCTCCGCGGGCGGCGATCGGGCCTCGGCCGCAGTCCGTGTGCCCTCGGCTCTTCCAGGTGGCCGGCGAGGCCCGCGGCGCCGGGGCGGGTGGGGGGAGGTTCGGGCCTGGCCCGGCCGAGGGTCTCCAGCCCGGCGCAGCGCCCTCTGGACCGCTTGGACCCCTTCTGGTTCCTGATCGTCCCTCCCCGCCCATGCCTCCCACCTCTCCAGACACCGAGATCTGTGGGCAGGGCTGCAATTGTCCCTGTTGTGCAAGAGCTCGGGGGCCCCCACCCACCTGCCCCCAGCCCGGCAGCAGTTACAGGGTGGCTGAGCCCAGGCTTCCCCAGAGGGCTGGACCCGCAGTCAGGGCTTAGCAACCCTCCCCCTGCACACCCGCTGGGGCTCCTTGTAAGGACCACCCTGTGATCTCCCTGGTCTCTGCTTGGCTGGGTGTAGAAGGTGGGAGCAAGGGTTCCGGGGTGGGACTAAGGGCAGCTAAGTCCCGGTGGCCCTGGGCCTGCCTTCTCCACAGGGCCTGCTAAGGCGGTTCCTGGTGTGCTTAATTGGCATAGTGTTTAGGTAGACATCCTGGATTCCAGGTCTCAGAACTGTGTGGGTCTGGGGACATAGCTGGTGCCTGGGCCCTCCCCTCACCTTCTGTGACCCAACACCTCTGCATGCTTCCTCCAGGAAGCCCTCCTGGCTGGGCTCTTCCCACCCCTCTGTGCTCAGGCTTATTAGCAGATTTCTGGGGTCCCTGAACTCAAGAGCCCGGGAGCTTCCTGCCACGTCACTAAAGCTTCTCTTCCCAGCAACTTGGAAAGGGAAGGAAAGGGTCTGTGTCCACTGTGGCCTGTGGCAGTGGTCAGGACTGGGGGCGAAGCTGGGCCCCAAAGCTAGTGGAATATTTCAGGGCTTGGAGGGTTTTCTGGCCTGTGCCTGCCGCGGGGAGCTCCCTCATCCATGTCTGACTTAAGCTGGGCCCTGTTGGAGAGTGAGGGAGCAGGAGGGTGGAGGGGTGCAGCTTGACCCATGCCCAGATGTTAACGCTGGCCTGGCCTGGAGTTGCCACCTGAGAGTCTGAGAGTTGAACAGCTAGTGGGGAGGGCGTCCTCTGCTCTGAGGTGAGGGTCCCCAGGAGGGTAGGGTCAGCTTAGGCCCGGCTGAGCCTGCTGGGTACTTTTTGTGGCACGTCAGCTTTTAGGAATTCCCAGAGATTAATGAGGACAGACAGGTGGGCTCCACAGATCTGAGCCTCCCACCTCTTCCCAGCATACCTATGGAGTGGGGCGGGGGGCGCACCCCGGTCTACGGGGTGGGCCCCTCTGTGAGACCTGAGGTCTGGCCAGGGGTTCCCCCCCAGGGAGGGAGGGAAGTTACTGAGAAAAACAAGGGTTTGGAATGTGAGTCCCCCCTCCCCCGCCGGCTGCCTGCCAAGAAGGAATTATTTTGGATTATCCAGCCGTGTCCAGCCACCCAA